TTTCAGCTCAACAACATCATATTCTCTGCATGACGCTCAATGTCAGACAACTTAACTAACATACTCTACAAAATTTAACAACCCTACTAATCCACTTCTTTTTCTCTCTTCTCTTCCCTACCTCTTTTTTCTTTTTCTTTGTTCACTTTAATTTTAAATTACATAATTAAAAATAAAGGGAGAGAAAAGAGAGATATGTATAAATTGATAAGATTGTTTAGCATTGGAGAGTGTGTTGATTAAGTTGTTTGACATTGGGAGCCATATAGAGAAGAAATGTTTGAGCAGTGAAAAAAAATTTGATATGCATTTTCAACCATTAGATCAAAGTAGATTACGATTATATCAATCTTGATTATTGTTGTATTTTTATAAGTTGAGAATTCAACTTTTTTTATCTGTAATATTAAATAGATATAGTTGATAAGTTTATAAAGTTTTGAGGACAAATAAAAAGATGGATTGATGGATTTTTTTTTTTCCAAATACTGAAGAACTATTTTAACTACATATTTTTTGAACTCGATAATATTATATAAATCCGAAATGAACACAATCCCACATAAACCATTATATCTGACTACTAAAGCATGTCCCTTGCGAAACTCGAATTTTGAATCGGAATCTATAATCTATAATATTAAACAGAATATATTTCAATAAATTCATCCGATGGTCTTAAATAAATTCATTAAATAGCCATCAACATCTCTCTTAAAACTATTTATATTGTACCGTGCCTTCGTATTACTCCTAGCATATTAAAAACTAACCAGTACAACTCTGCACTCCTTGTCAAAAGTTTCATTCTTTTTATTTTGTTTCAAGCCTTTGAACAGTCTGTGAAGGAGAGAGAGAATAAGCATGGTTACAATAACTTCTTCGCTGTATCTTGGCAATTCAAAAGGGAGAGTTGGCTTGTCACTTGCCAATGGTATTCATGGGAGACTTATGGCTCCTCCAATGACTTTACAGTGTGGGTATACATAGCTGTTTATTGGGTAGTCAAGTTCCAACTTGTTAAAAATGGGCAAAAGTCAGAACCCTTCATATGTGCATTTAAGTTCCAATTGCATTTTCCCAATGCAATCCCTGGCTGTAGATTTTCTTCCTCAATTTTTATTACATTCTATTTATATCCTTGATAAGGAGAGAAGTTTAAGATGTTTAGTGCATATCGAGCATCTTGTGATCTCTTCGCTTTATTAAATGGAGATTCTATAGTACTGTACCGACAATTATAATTCAAGCAGATCAAGTAATAACTCATATTAAATTATGTTCCAGTGGGATTGAGTGAGGATCGATCCCATTTGAACCATAACTTTGACCTAATTGGATTATAGTATGAAACCGATTTGACACCTCAGAATTTTTCCTACATACGTGCGAATTTTCACGATACTCACAGTGAAGAATTACTTAGATGAACAAATTGAAGTTATGAAGCAACCTTCATTTGTCTTGACTTCTCCATCATTATGATTAGCTTCTCTACTTAGGCCAAAACTTGGGCATGTTATTATGACACAAAGTGCTACATGAATTCATCTCATTCTATCATGCACCTTGAGAAATATTGCTATGTTCTTTTTATGGTTCAACAGTTAGGGTGTTCGGGTCAACTTACGTGCACCTAGACTAATTCTCTCTCCTCTTCGATCCAGTCAAAGGCAGGTCATCCATATCAGAACTAGAGTATTTATAATGGATAAAATTTATAATTCATCCTTATTATCATTTGAGCTACCCTGAGATTATGTTGACATTTTTGCCATTATATCTCAATCTTAACTCTTCTCTTTTCCACAAGCACCTCCTTTCTCTCCCACCCCAAACCCAACAACAAAGAGGGGAAAAAAAAGAAGAAATGAACTCATCAGAACAATGAACATGCATTGAACTCACGAACTTCACCTACTTAAAGGTGCACACCATGCAGGCACCCTCATACTCTTTTTTTGGGAAATGAAACATCGTTTCAACCTTGTATTTTTTAAACTAATGTCTTAAACTTTAGATGTATGAAATCACAAGCTAACCCCAATGTATTAAATAGGTATTCTCAAAGGTTTACTAATCTAGCAATTAATCACTCAATTAAGGTTTTTTGTGATAAATCTTTTCGACTTTTTCTTGCATTACAAGTTGAAGAAGAAAGAATAAGAGGTTTCTTCAGCCTTATTCCTTCCGTTAGAAGGACAGCATGAAAAATGGAAAGCTGCTTCTGCACAACTAGCCTAATCAAACAATTTGAGATAAACCTATCTCCTGGCTGACAAATGCATCAAGTATAGGGCAAGACTACGGCTGAAGAAGGTATCGCGGGGAAGTTATAATTTTTTTGAATCAAGTTCGATCATAAATGTTAAGATGGTTATCAAATAACCATGTTCTATCGTAACCTAATCAAAGTGAATCATATTTGCACCTTTATTTTATAGTAATTTAAGTACGGTACTAAAAAAAAATTACTTTTCGTCCAGTACTCTAAACCCAAGTGCAAAGGAGTTTGGCAAGTTGTGATGGGCTTGGCCCAAGGGTCCAACCATGTTATAAACCCAATGCAAATTGAGAGCCCAACTTGAAAAGATTCAACGGGTCTAGTCCAAAAGAGGTTCAAGTCCAGTTAAATTTATCAGGATTCGAAGAGCTACGTCACAAAGGGAAGAGGCAGGGTTATCCTGAGAGGCTCATCCACACCGCCTTGAAAAAAAGTCAACCATCATGTCATCCTTTGATTAGATCTTAAGGAGAGTTCCGTAACTACCTCATCCGTTGAGAAGATAGCGTCAGCTCCACCAAATTCGCTATTTAGTTATTGAAAAGACTCTTCATCTGTTAAGAGAGATACTATAAATTGTAAGTCCCGCCAATACTCGGGGGGCATCGAGTATATCTACTATTACTCTCATTTCTCTTTCTCTCATTGCTTGTATCTCCCTGCTCTCCCTACACTTCTTGAAGTAATAAAATACTCAGGCCACCCTAACCATTCATAGTGGACGTATGTCACGTTGACCAAACCACTCTACATCTTTATCTTGCTTGAATTACTCTCTCTCTTTATTTAATTACTGCATTAATTACTGATCACTTGATCGGTGGTGCATAAAACCAATTTATCCATCGTCAATTTGGCATCGTCTGTAGGAACCAATAAAATTTTCACCTAATCATTTTTCTTGTTGTAACAATGGCGATCACCACTAAATTCATAAATTAGTCTGAAGTCAATCCACCATGAGAGGAGGAGGTTGACTTTCCACCAATCCTGTTCCAAACGCACAGTAGATGCTGAAAACAATGCAGCAGCTCGTAACTCAGAATCAACAAATCCTACAACTGATGCTCATTGGACAAACAAAGAGAATCATAGCCTGAAGGGCATCAAGCTAGAGGAGCTCCACGCCCTGGGAGTCAAGGAGCTCCCCACTTAGGCGCCCCCTATACAGGGGAGCCCCTCATCAGAACCATGAGGGACCTCCATCTCCTCCTCCAACTCCTTCTTCCCATGGTGAAGACACTCGTTTGCAAGAGGATGAGGGCGAAAATCAAAATATGGAGCGTGAGAGTCATTTTCATGAAAATTTCAAAGGAACCACCGATCACTGGGACGAAAAAATCAAAGAGGTACAAAATCAACTGAGTAACGTTTTCAATGCCATGAAGATACAAGGACCTGGGACTATGGACTATCTTGTAAGGCAAACTGACACGCCTTTAGTGCCAAATGTGGCAAACTGCCCCCTTTCCCAAAAGTTCAAAATGTCATCCGTCAAAATCTTTGATGGTACAAAAGACCCACTTTATCACCTCAAAACCTACAAGTACTTAATACAACTATACAATGTCAATGACGAAACCATGTGTAAGGTGTTTTCGACTATTCTGAAGAGATCAGCCCGACAATGATTCGCCAAGCTTATCCCAGCATCTATTGGCTCCTTTGTCGAGCTAAGCAGGTCTTTTGTGTCACACTTCATTGGAGGGCGCCGCCACTAAAAGCCTGTTACCCACTTGTTCAGTATAAAGTAAGATCGAGATGAGAGCTTGAGGTGCTACCTCACTCGTTTCAATGAGGAGGTCCTGCAGATCAAATAACCTGATGATTAGGTCACCATGACCACTTTCCTGTGAGGCCTCTGATCTTCGAGCTCTCTATTCTCAGTGATGAAGCGCTCATCAAAGAGCATGCTAAAACTACTAGCAAAAGTCCAAAAATACAAGAATGCTGAGGACATCCACAAACATAAAACAAGCCTCCCAGCTATGGTAGTTAGAGTGCAATTCAGTAACCAATTTACCTCCACTTGGAGCAAGTAGAACCAGCCACGATTAGGAGTAGGAATTTCGCTCAAAGTATAAGTTGCACAGAACTCCTTCAGAGAAGCATCCTCATGATGCACCCTTCTCCACAGTGCCAGAAACTCCAGCAAACTCTCTAACCATTAGGTGCCAACCGCCTTGGCGCGAGTGAAAAGCAATGAAGAATGTGACAAACAGAACAAGGCATTGGGAACCTCTGCCCAATCTCAAGCACTTCCTCGTAGATAGTAATGTCTCTAGAAGAGTTATCACAAGTAGGCTCACTTATCTCGACTCCACGACACAGTACTGTTAGAGAATTTTATAAACAAAGATGATCCGCAAAATATCTGCATTAGTGTTGAAAGTACTAGAAATGGTACTTACTTTTGATCTGTCATCATCAGAAACTACCTTTCCTCGATGTTTGCTAATGTGAGGGTGAGGAGCATTTCCCGGGCCACTATTAGGAGAACCTTGAGGAATCTACTTGGTGGAGGTCTACCTAAGCGAGTCATATCATCTGTCATTCAACCAGAATCATCATCACCAGAAAAACTTGCGCCCTCTGGCGTACTCTACTTCCTAACTCCAGGACCAAGCTTGTTAGGTTCATACCCAACGATCACTGACACTGCCTGCTCGTTTGCTTGACCATGCCCAGTGCCTAATAGGGCCTCGTCAGCGCTCGTCTATCCTTGCCCAGCTGGCCTGGGCGTGCTCCCACCACAGTGGATAACAAGCTTGATCGACAGCGCCAGTGGCTCATTGCCATCAATGCTTGTTCCCAGCGGTGCCTGGCCATCAATGTCCGTCTCCAGCGATGCCCTGCCATTAGCACCCATTGCCAATGACGCCTCGCCATTAGCTCCATTTACCTGTTCCCTGGCGCACGGTGCCCATGGTGCGTCGCTCCTAGCATCCACCCATGGAGTCTTGGCCTCTCTAATTTGTGCCTCATATTCGGCGCTCCTTCTACTGTCAGCAAGTAATGCCCCTAGCGCCCTTCTCTCAGCGGCGACGATGGCAATGTGGCCATGGCGCCGTCGCCCATCTTCGTCCTAGGTCGCCTCGCCCATTCGGGTCCTCTCTTCACTTTCTTGATTCACGAGATCGCCTCCAGCGATGGCCCAAGCTCCATTCACACCACCATGACCCATAACGCCCCCTAGCTCACCAAAATTCAGCTGCGCGCTGGTGTTGGGTACTTGATCAATGCCTGCTTCTCCTTCTTCGATGACAATGGGTGCTTGCGTCCCTTCCTTTTGAATCGACATTGTCTCTGAATGCTCCACTCAGGAACCTCACCCTTGCCTCTATTCTTGAAGAGTCTCACGAAAGAACTCTCTCTCTAGTCTAGAGTGTTAAGTGGAGATGAGGGAAAAGACTCCTATTTATGACCTAGACTTCTTTTAGAATCCCAATAGAAAATAAAATGAAGAGGTTATATGATTGGAGATGTCCTATAGACAATAAGAAGTTTATGTATCAGAAAGAAAATAAGTCATCAATCAAAAGGAGTCTCCATCAGCCAAATTCCAGGTTCAACCGAATGCTCTCTTCTTCAAGTTTCATTAGGCACAGGACATTGGGGGGGGGGGAATGATGGGTCAAGCCTAAGGGCCAACTCATGTTATAAGCACAACTTGGAAAGATCCAATGGGTCCAACGCAAAAGAGGTCCAAGCCCAGTCAAGCTCATCAGGATTTGAGAAGCTACATGACAAAGGGAAGAGACAAGGTCATCCTGAGAGTCTCATTCACGCCGTCTTAGAAAAAGTCAATAACTACGTCATCTTTTGACTGGATCTTAAGGAGAGCTCAGTAACTGTCTTATCCGATGAGAAGATGGCGCCAGATCCACCAGATTCGCTACTTAGTTACTAAATAGGCGTCTCATCTGTTAAGAGACTACAAATTGTAAGCTCCGTCAATACTTGTGGAACATCGAGCACATCTACTATCACTCTCATTGCTTGTATCTCTCTGCTCTCCCTACACTTCTCGAAATAATAAAATACCTAAGTCACCCTAACCCTTCAAAATAAACGTAGGTTATATTGACCGAACCACTTTACATCTTTGTCTTGCTAGAGTTACTCTCTTTCTTTAATTAATTATTACATTAATTATTAATCACTTAACCAATGTTGCATAAAACCAATTTGTACACCCTAAAGTTAAAATTCTTCTTTTTTATCTCCTCCTTTGTATGCATGCCAAGTGACTTACTTATCTGTAAGCTCAGCCATTAATTGTCATAATTAGATGCCACAGACAACAGACTAAAGGTACAGGAACTTTGAAAAGTGTTTCTCTTGATAACCCATCAGAAGTTACTTACAGGAAAAATAAAAAATAAAAAACACCCCACCATGAGCAGATCCGTTCATGTTTCAGTTTTCAATTTCCAGGAAAATGGATTCTGTAACATCTAAATTCAAACCCTAGTTCCATTTCTCAGAAAAACCCAAATCGAATGGTTCACAAAATACAAAGAGTTTGTCCTAAGAAGATGATCGGAGATTATTTCCAGTACATACATGGACATTAGGACATATACTACTAGTAATTTACACTTTTTTCCCCTATATGGTAGTGGTAAACTTTTTCAGCTCGGGCTAGAAATTTTCATTTTAGGCCTTGAACTGATGGAAGTAAAATCTACCAGTTCAAGGATTAAAACTCAGAAACAGAAAGGGGGAGAGAACCCCAAAACAGTTGAATCTCTCTTCAGAACAAGACAGCAGTTTCCCCCAAGGACATGTCCATTACGTCTTCTTGTCCTTGTGAAGCACCATCATCGAAGAGCCATTTCTCTAGTAAAGCCAAAGGCATTTGGCTGCTAGAATTTGGCTTTCTTTCATCATGGAAAAGGGTAGTTTCAGGTGTGAAAGTAGCAGTTTTATCCACACTCACGGATTTAGAAGCAGCAGAATTGAAGCTAAACAGTGATTCCAAGCTCCCCGGTGTCAACGCACTGAGTCCTTCACTAGGACTAGAACCTATTCCAACTGGGTTGATGAAGGAATTTTGAGTAGTTTGGCTTGTTTCTGAGCTTGTTAGAGATGATTTTGGGGAGTTTTTCATCCAGTTTTCGAGCAATCGACTTATATTTTCAGTGCTTGATGCATATGTGGTTGTTTGGATTGGGGTGATGAAAGGACAATGGGTATTAGATTTAGAGGGCTTTGATTCTGCAAAATTGCTTGATTTTTCAAGTGATAAAGCCTCACGTAGAGCTTGTTTAGCCATGTGGATGTCTGTTTGAAGCCTTCTTTCCCACTGTCCCTTTGAATCTGAGTGCCCATCTTGATTGTGTTGTTTATCATGTTCATGGCCTTGAAGCTTTTTGAGCTTCTTCTTCAAGTGGGTATTCCAATAGTTCTTTATGTCGTTGTCTGTTCTCTGAGGAAGGTAGGAAGCTATGGCAGCCCATCTGCATCAAAGGTGAGATTCAGATTATTAATCACAGGATCAGAATGTATTTTCTATTATGTGTAAGATAAAGGTATCAAAGAGTTACTTTTCGACACAAGTTTACCACCCTTCAATCTAACAAGCTTACAACAGAATGAGTTTATTAACTTGATTTGGAATCCATGATCCATCCTTACATTTAAGACGGACCGATGGGTAACCTGATCTCAAGTCAATTGTAACTAAGGCTCATTTAGTTGTATTTTTATACGATACTGAACTCGATACCAGATGTAGAAATATGTAGTTAGATCCAACCCAGATCGGGTAACAATGGCGTTATACATGACTTCGTCTAAAGAGGAGGAATGTAGAGATTTTAGTACCTATTGCCTAGAAGTGCTTGGAGGTGGATTATCATCTTCTCCTCATGATCAGTGAAGTTGCCACGTCTGATGCCCGGCCTTAGATAATTAGTCCATCTAAGCCTGCAACTCTTACTGCATCTAAGCAAACCTGATCAAAAATCAACATGAGAGAGAAAGTAGTTAATACAAACCAAATCATACAAAAAGCAGATTTAACCATTTTAGTTGGTCCATTGAAAAAGAAGATGCTAGAGCTGCAGAATATTAAATATACCACTTTAATGATCATAACTAACCCAAACCAACCCAAAAGCAAAAAGTAGAAAAAAAAAGGCCAAAATTAAAGAAAAGAACAATAGTGAAATGAAGAAATTAAATAAAGTTGATTATCAGTTTGAAGTTTTTACCAGTATTAGTAGGAACGACTCTCCAATTCCCTGGTCCATGTTCTTGAATGTAAGATACCAAGGTGATGTCCTCTTCAGGAGTCCATGGCCCTTTCTTCACACCAATTTTATCACAGCAAGGTGGTCTACCCATACTTCCTCCTTGACTCTTTCTCTCTTCAACCCTCTCAAATCAAGCAGTCTTTGTTTTCCAACAAAAGAGCTCTCTCTCTCTCTAGGAGCTCATGGTTTGTTCTTCTCTTTAGAAGAAAAGCTGAGACATGAGTCTAATGCAAGTGGTACCCTTGTCTATATATAGATATATAGAGAAAAGAAAAGACTGAGGTGGTGTTTACGCTGACCCAAGCAGAAGTCAAAAGCAGCCGGCATCGAGCATTTACTCATTTGCTTGCTCAAAGTCAACGGTATGCTTCTTAATTCAGATGCTTTCGTGTTTCGACCTCTTCGCCTCACAAAACCGCGTGGCATTCAATGTGAAAGCTGTTCTTGCACTTAGAAAAAACCCTAATTCATATATGCCTCCCTCGGACACAATTTATACCAAATTGAGATATCATTTAATTATACTTTTAAGTATTTTTTATCCTTCAATATACTTTTAAAATATAAAGTTTTTTTAAAATGATTGAAGTCTTCATTCTCGTGATACTTGCATGATCATGATCTTCCATGAACAAAGCAATTTTTTTTTATTTTGGTTTGGATCATAGTGAATAGGGTTAGGGTAATTGTGTGTGCAGAATCTTACACAATATAAATACGAGAACAGATCTCTCCCATGGTGAACTCGAGTCAATCAATCAAATGATCAACCTTGCTATTGGGAATAGCCTGTGAGGTCCTGTGGTAACCTAGAACGATAATGGAAGACCCACGTGGATCAACGGAGCGATCCAGTAAGGCTGAGGAAGGTTCGTGGAACAAAGAAAGACAAGTTAGAAGGGCGCCGGAGTGTTTTTTGGCGTATCCCCTCCGACGATCAAGTCAGTATTTGAGAGGGGGGAAGAAGAAAACACTGAGTATAGGTTTTAGGAAAGGTTTTTTGTTGCGTACCGTCTTGCCTTTTGCGAGGACTATTTATACCTCAAAAACTCATGATTGTTGTCAGTGTGGTCAGTAGGTGATCATTAGGTACAGCGAACGTGCGCACTGATTCCTATGAGGAATGTCTTCTCTCTTAACTGCTCGGAACTCCGAGCAATCAATGCGTCGTCATCGGCCTGCCGAATATTCAATGAGCTCTTCTCGGCAAGAGAGTAATAAATGCCCAGTATCAGGGACATTTATTGTCTTTCTCTTCCGAGCCTTACCGCATTAAATGTTGTCTCATCAAGAGAATGACCTAATTAAATGCTTGCTTTCTCAAGTTGTGTGTCAGCAAAGACATCTGATCTTTTTGTCTCTGATGTGACACAATATGCCACGTGTCTCTTCCCCATTGGCTGCATCTTCTGCCTTCCTGTGTCTTCTAACACTGATTGTGTAAGACGAGGTCATGATGACTAACCTAGTCTAGCCTAAATTAGTGACTTGTACATCAATAGTCTCTGCGGGAGCAGAGAATGCCATCCTGGATGGTACACCTCAGAACCGAGGGGGAGGTACATCTCGGAGCCGAGAGGGAGGTACATATAGGGACCGATGTACCATATCCCCCCGACCGAGGGATACGTGTCGGTACATAAACGTACTGAATGCCATTGATCCCTACGACCAGTACCTCGGGGGAGAGGGACTTGTGAACCGATGGGTATGTGTCGTGATCACAGTAACAAGAATTTAGTGACATCGAAGAGACGTGTCTTCATCTTTGAATATTTTGAAAATGTCCCATCAGTAATATTGACACTTGCCTATAAAAATTGAGGCTACACGAAAATGTTCTTTCATCTTTGAGAGCACGACACTAAAACCCTTAGAAATGTCTTGATTTATATTGTATATTTAACATTTTTTATTAATGAAATTTATTTGATCCATTAAAAATAGAGTAATGGTATTTAAACTTAATTACTATTTATCATTAGTTTGATAATAAGTCCCGTTATGACTTCAATTTTGGGAAAGACTTTGGCATCAACGGAAGAAAAAATTGCAAGGTACTTCAATAAGATCAAAATTACTTAAAACCCGTTGTTACTTTAATAAACAAATCAGTAAATTTAATAAATTTCATATCACATTTAAAAAAAAAAATATTTGATCACGAAAAGTCGGGCCAGTTTGATCATGGCCAATGAATAAGTGGGGTTATGGGAAGCGTAAGGGACTAGCTTACTTGTCATGTGTACCATTATATACCGGTACTGAGAAAGTTGTCAGTGGGGACAATCTCTACCTTCTGACACCTCAGTTGTATATATCGCCATGAATGACTTGATCAACTGGGCTTCGTTTATTTAGCTAAAAAATGATTAAAAATATATAAAAAAAAATTAGAATTTTAATATATTTGGTTAATATGAAAAGGAAAATAATAGAAAAAATAAATTTTTTTCGTGCTTGAATTTTTTCACAAATAATCAACTTTTTTTTCTTGTAAAAAAGACAAAAAAATGCAAGAAAATTGTGATATATAGGTAATTTTTTAAAAAATATTTTATTAGTTATTAATTTTAAAAAATTTTAGTATGAATTTGATTAATCATATAATTTGGCTCAAAGACTTTTGTGTTGGTGATTGTCTTAGAATTAAGTTTCGAGCCACTTTTTTAAAAAAAACTTTAACGTTTAATTGTAATTACATATTTTTTTCTTTTTTAGACTAATTTAATATAATTAAGGGTAATTTAGATAATTATAAAAAATTTCTTATAATTTTATTTTCTTTCAAACAATAAAATAAATTTTTTTTAAAATTTTTCTGTAAATTTTTCATTCTAACCAAATACATGCATGAAAATACATTTTATATTATTTTATTTTCTTCCACTTTAATTTTTATCATTTTTACATTCTATCATTTTTTTTTTCTAAATCAAACGGACTCTGAGAATTGTGCTCGATTTGAGTCCCATGAGAGAGAGAGAGTATAGATAATACATTTTCAAATCCCAATAGTATAAAATGATAGCTTCTCGAATATTTTGTTTTACCTTCCGATGTGTTAGATATTTTTTTTTTCTTTTTTCTTTTTTTGACCAACGATGCGTTAGATTCAATGCATGAAGAGTAAATGTAGAATATGGGCATGATCTCATATGACTATTTTGCCTTTTTCTTTGAACAAAAGAATTTGATAAAGTAATTAGTCAAACAAAAATTGTGCAAGAGATGTAAAGTGAACAAGCCAAAACAGCAAAAGAAATATCAAAAGTACCAAGATATTTGAAGAAGATAAGAACAATTATAATTGTAATAATAATTAATTACCATCATCATCTTGCATTGCATAATTTTTTATACATATTATATGGATTTGACTTCGGTACTCAGAGAGCTACGATTTATTTTATTTTATTTTATTTTATTTGGAATTTATAGCAAAAATCTTAAAATATTATGAGTAACCCCAAAATATTCTACAAAATCTTCTAAAATGTTTACATATGACGGTAAAGTGTCGATTTTTTTTGGGTACGAATACGATAACATTCTCCATATTATAATATACATAATAAGATGGCATGCAAGAACAAAAATCAAAAGGTAGAATCCCTTGTTGAACCCATCGAATCCACTATTAACACTTTAATGTTTAGGGTTGATAATTGGGAAAGAGTGAAAGACCCCTCCCTCTCCTTTTGTAGTAGATATCATTTCCACGTACGACTTCGTTTTTAGGTTAAACAGATGTGTTTGCATGTGTGGTAGAAGACAAACTAAAACTAGTAAAAACAAGTCAACAATTGCCTTTTTTTGTCCTTATAGTTGATGTGTACAGTGATGAGCTAACGGTGGAGTGAGGTCCAGAACGTGTCCATTGTCATGCATATTTATGAGCGAGAGAGAGAGAAGATGGTGATGGTGATGGTGATGGTGATGATGATGAGAGTAGATACCAAATATATAAGAGTTCTTCTCAACGCTAATACCTCATCATTCTGCTTTTAATCCCTTTGGGAACAGTGAAACTTCATCTCGTCATCCCCCTCGAATAAGTTTTAAGTCATCCACACATTCCAGGTTTAAGCAACTAGCTATCCATAAAATAAGGAAGAAATTATATATGTTCTAACTCATACAAAAAGAAGTAGCTGCATTTCATTGGGAGCAAACACTACCAAAAAAAGAAAATTATCGATAATTGAAGTATAAATATTTAAGGTAAATTTTCTTCAACAGTTTAAGTTTTTTGAGTAAATGATTGTTTAACAGGCACGTAAAAAAACACTTAAGTTACACACTAACAATTTAAACTCTTGAAATAAATGGTTATTTAACACCTAAGAAAGTTTTAGCTAGGAAATATAATGTTGTCGGGATCAATTTTGAGAACATAATGTATTTTGCTCATTAGATTAGCAATGAAATTCCTAACATTCATCAAAGTCCACTATCAATCTAATGACTACCATATGTTAGGTACAAGTATCACTACTTTTTCCATTGTTCCTTAAAAGTTGCAAAACATAGCAGACGGAAAATTACACTTAAGAAGACAGTTAGATTTGGCATCACCTTCTTTATTTTGTTGCTTTGATACTAATATGGATGATTAATTTTTATGTGCAACTCAAATCAACAAAATCTTATTCTAATATTTTTAGGTTCAATTATATGAATCTTATTTTGCCATAGTGTTCTATAGAGAATCATAATTTCTGTTAGACTATAAATTATTTCATCTTTTTATACTATTTTATTTAAACTTAATTTTAGACTTCCTCTATCTTTTTGATTACCCTTATTAACTATTAGGTCACTCTATCTCAACGCTGCAGTAGTAGGGCTTTTTAAAAAAATGTCAAAATCACCTAAGAATTATTTTATTCTATAGATTTTTGAATACTTAATCTATTATTTATTTAAAAATCTTTTTTTTTTATTTTTTTTAAAAAGATTGCTTATAATATTATTTTATTATTACATACGAAAAAATAAAATGTAATATATACTTTATTGTAGAATTTAATCTGATAACTGCAAGTATATAATCATTTAACATATATAAGACTTCACTTTTTCATATAG